CATATGAAGATCCTCCCCCCCAAGTAGGTTTGGGGGGGAGGATCTTCATATGATCCAAACTATTTTGAATGACATGCTTAAATTTTTAAATTTTTAATTAAATCCTGGATTGCTATGGTGGTAAACACGTTACTGGTATTTTGAAACACCTTGTAAAAGCTAAAGGGTTAGATAAGGAGAAATGCTCAAATAAGCTTTACAAAGTATGTGTTTAGATACTGTACTAGAGTTTGCATGACCGGAAATGCCCACGTGTACTTTTTATTCGTAAGGTTAATTATGAAAGATTTCTTAAATGCTCCATTGATCATAGTAAATACCCATTTTAATTCTTAACACTTTCACTACTGGATGCCACTTTTAATACTTTATTTGGCCCACGCTAGACGATTTTATTGAGCAGAGTCCCCCTCGTACCCAAGGGATTAATATGATAAATTTAATAAAGGAAAATGCACAAAAGTTACACTTAGCATTGTAGAAGTAGTTAAATTCTCAGTATACTGAGGGTAAAAAACAGAAACTGCACAAAAGCTACTTTAATCAGGTAACTACATTATGGCTTTACAAAAATGTCACTGTTTACAGAGTTCTTGTCTGTCTACACTGACTGGTGGTCACCGGCCTACACCAAGCAGTCACGCTGGTGGTTCATCTCTTCACAGTAAAACAATATAAGAATTATATTAAATGGCAAAGTATTGTACAGTATAATAAAAATAGAGTACATTTATAAAAGTAAACAATAAAACCCAAATTAAGAGATAAAGCAAAAAATTTACCGAACTTGAATGTAAGAAATAATTTGGGTTAAAATCTACTCGGAAAACAATGGAATATACATAAGTAGACACACATAAACAAACTCTTACCAATGTTAACTTAAATTAAAGAAACTATATACATGATACAATAATTGTTAGAGCATGGAGGGAATCCAGATATTTTCTATCTAATTACTGGCAAAGTCATCGAGTCAGCTTGTAATTATTCTGTAAAGGAATTGAGAGGTAAACTGTACACAAGACAGTTCTCACATCACAACATTCCTTGACACGTTACATGTTTAATGCACAAGGAATCCTACTCTGGAATATTACAGATATAGTTATGGTCACATTCATTTTTCAGTTTGGGTAACTTTTGACTGTACAGGTACAGAACTTTCAATTCTCCAGACACTGACAAGCTTAAGATATCAGTATAACTCCAAGCAATTTGTTACGCCAAGTTGTCGATTAATCCTTAAAAAACAACTACATTTTTTGTGGAATATGGATAACTTTTGGTTTTTATTGCTATAATCCAACGGAATTTAATTCGCATATGGTAAAATTTGCTCTTTCATTCAAGGCGTCATTTTCTATCATACGATAGCAAAATTATACCTAAAGTAGATTAGGTGAGGTAAGGTTAGGTTAGGTTAAGTTAGGTAAGATTTTATATGAAGCTATTCATTTATAGTTTTTTTTTTTAATTAAATGGTCGTTTATGGCCACTCAGAAGTTTCCAAAAAATAATAAATGCCCCCAATCTGCCTGCACGTCACCAGCATAAGCTGAACGGCAATTAATACGTACTCCTGTTTAGCGTAATATATATATATATATATATATAGGTTAGTATATATATATATATATATATATATATATATATATATATATATATATATATATATATATATATATATATATATATTATAGCTAATAATTATGGTTTCAGCATACGCAATAAACTTTAATGTTAAAAAAAAATTATATTGAATTACCTGTAGTACCTTACCCCTGATATTTGGTATAATCATTACAGGGGGGGGGGGTACTCTTTTTTTCTTAAATATTCTTTCAACTTTACAGAACAGTACAGTATGTAATTATAGTTTAGGGGACCTATAATGAAAATGAGGGAAGGGAGGGGAGGGTACTGTTTTGCAGTTAGGTTGATTGTCATAGTAGACAGAAGTGTCCTGTTGTGGCTCAGTACTCAAGAACAGCTAAATGCTCTACATGATTGCAGTACTCCAGAAAGTCGTAGAGTACCTCATAATGCCCCTGTGTGTCTTAAGTACCCATTTCTGCCCTAGTATGTCCTTAGTACCCAATATTGCCCCAGGGTACCCGAAAATGCCCTGAGTACCACATAATGCCCTAAATACTCTATATTGCCCACGGTACTCTGTAATATCATGAAGCATCCCAAAATATCCAAAGTACTGTACTCTAAAATGCCCAGAGTATCCGATAATGCCCCAGACTATGTATTGAGCTAAAAAAAAGAAGAAAACAATTACCACACAGTCTTTGGGGTTTATCGGCAGAGACAGTTGACAATGAAAGTTCAATAGAATCACATTTTTAATGGATTCTAATATGTACAGTCCTGTAGTAGGTTCAAATATCAAAGTTTATAATGATTTATATGATAGGTCCATATTAGAAACGGAAGGGTTTATTTTGAGTACTGTATGATTAAAAAAATCCCACTGCAATGATATTACAGTATACTGTACAGAATGTTGAATATACAGGAGCATCCTTTGTAATGCATTCAGTTTAAGGTGTTAAACTTCGTATGTAACAAGTGAGGTCCTCCAGGTGAGAGAAGATGGGGAAAGGGATGGAATTTATATTTAGCATGGGAAATGATTGTAATCTTTTTGGTCAACATTGATATTAGATAGTGTCACTACATTACCAGAGAAACGGTGCCCATCACGCCCCTCCTACCTGGTGACCTGTGGCATAACACTACAAGTGGGAATGTGCATATTACCAGGATGGAGATAAGTAGTGGAGATATTAGCACCAATACAATACCAATGATGGTATTGGCATATATTCCATATAATGAAAGTGTAGGTGATAGTACTTGCGGAAGTATTGATGATGTTGATATCAGTGTTGGTGGTGGTGATTGTGGTGTGGACAATGATATAGTGGTGGAACCAGTACAATAGTGGCAGTTATAGCAACACTACAAGTAGTTATGATGGTTTTGTGGTGCACCTGTACTTGATACTGACAGACAGCACTCTGGATTTTGGTGGCAGTGGCGCACTACAGGTAGTGGAGGTGGCAACACTACGGGTAGTGGTGATGGTGATAGAAGTACAGGTGGTGATGGTGGCAACACCAAAGATGGTGGTGGTGATGGTAACAGCAATACAGGTACTGGTGGTGGTGATGGTGATAGAACTACGGGTGGTGGTGGTGATGGTGGCAGCACTACAGGTGGTGGTGATGGTGGTAACGCAACAGGTGGTGATGGTGGTAGCGCAACAGGTGGTGGTGGTGGCGGTACTACAGACGGTGGTGGTGATGATGTCAGCACTACAGGTGGTGGTGGTGATGGTGGCAGCACTACAGGTGGTGGTGATAATGGTGACAGCACTACAGATGATGGTGGTGATGGTGGCAGCACTACAGGTGATGATAGTGATGGTGGCTTCACTACTGATGATGATGGAGGCAGCACTACAGGTGGTGGTGGTGATGGTGACAGCACTACAGGTGATGGTTATGGTGTCAGCGTTACAGCTGGTGGTGGTGATGGTGACAGCAATGCAGGTGTTAATGGTGATGGTGGCAGAGCTACAGGTGCTGATGGTGATAACACCAAAGATGGTGGTGGTGATTGTAGCAGCAATAAAGGTGTTGGTGGTAGCAGCACTACAGGTGGTGATGGCAGCAGCACTACAGGTGGTGGTGATGGTAGCACTACAGGTGGTGGTGATGGTAGCACTACAGGTGATGGTGATGGTGGCAGAACTACATATGGTGGTGTTGGTGGTGATGGTAGCAGCACTACAGGTGGTGATGGTGGCAGCACTATAGGTGGTGGTGGTGATGGTGGTAGAATTACAGGTGATGATGGTGGCAGCGCTATAGGTGGTGGTGGTGGTGGTGATGCTAGCACTAAAAGGTGGTGATGGTGATGATGGTGGCAGCACTACAGATGGTGGTGGTGATAGTGGCAGAACTACCTGTAGTGATGGTGGCAGCACTATAGGTGATGGTGGCAGCATTACAGGTGGTCGTGGTGGTGATAGTGGCAGAGCTACCGGTGGTGACGGTGGCAGCTCTATAGGTGGTGGTGGTGATGGTGGCAACACGAAAGGTGGTGGTGGTGATGATGATGGCAGCATTACAGATTATGATGGTGATGGGAGCAGCGCTATAGGTGGTGATGGGGGCAGCCTGGGCAGCACTATGGTGATGGGGCAGCGGTGATGGGGCAGCACTATAGGTGGTGGCACTGTAGGGGGCAGCACTATAGGTGGTGATGGGGGCAGTAGGTGATGAAGGCAGCACTGGTAGTGATGGCAGGAGGTGGTGATGGGCAGCACTATAGGTGGTAATGGGGGCAGCACTATAGGTGGTGATGGGGCAGCAATACAGGTGGTGATGGGGCAGCACTAGAGTGATGGGGGCAGCATTATAGGTGATGATGAAGGCAGCACTACAGGTAGTGATGGGGGCAGCTATAGGTGGTGATGGGGCAGCACTACAAGTGGTAATGGGGGCAGCACTATAGGTGGTGATGGGGGCAGCACTATAGGTGGTGATGGGGGCAGTACTATAGGTGGTGATGGGGCAACACTATAGGTGATGATGGGGCAGCACTACAGGTGGTGATGGGCAGCACTGCAGGTGGTGATGGGGGCAGCACTACAGGAGGTGATGGAGGCAGCACTACAGGTGGTGATGGGGCAGCAGGTGGTAATGGGGCAGCACTATAAATGGTAATGGGCACTGGGGCAGCACTATAGGTGGTGATGGGGGCAGTACTATAGGTGGTGATGGGGCCAGCACTACAGGTGATGATGGGGCAGCACTATAAATGGTAATGGGGCAGCACTATAAATGGTAATGGGGCAGCACTACAGGAGGCACACTACAGGAGGTGATGGAGGCAGCACTACAGGTGATGGGGCAGCACTGCAGGTAATGGGGCAGCACTATAAATGGTAATGGGCAACTATAAATGGTAATGGGGCAGCACAGGAGGTGATGGGGCAGCACTACAGGTGGTGATGGGAGCAGCACTACAGGTGGTGATGGGGCAGCACTACAGGAGGTAATGGGGGCAGCACTATAAATGGTAATGGGGGCAGCACTATAAATGGTAATGGGGGCAGCACTACAGGTGGTGATGGGGGAAGCACTACAGGTGGTAATGTGGGTCGGGAGAAGCGGGGCTACAGTCTCGTTATGTAGTGACACCAAAAGTTACTCATCTTCAGGTAATAAATTATACCTATGTCTGTATACCATCTATTTAATTAATGCCTCATTCGGGGGAAAATAACGGAATAAAATGTAAACAGAATTGGAGTACTTGTGTCAACGTCATCCCCTCGTCTTGTCAAATCTTGTCTTGTCCTGAGAAGTGAATTAGAACGCCTTTCTCAACGCTCCTGAGAGGAAAGTACGATAACTGCTAAATTATACAGTAATCATATTCTTATAGAATAATACTTCCCATTAAATGTAATAATTATTATATTCTACAAGAAATATGCGGTTATATTTCGATACTTACTAGCTAAGTTCCGAGTTTTTCGTTTAGCGGAGAAAAAAATATAGTAAGCTCGTTGAGAATCGCAGCTGAAGTAAGGTGTGTCGTACTTATCCACGATATTAGATTTATATTTGTTGATAAATTTGTTGGTACTTCTCAAAAGGTTAGGTGTATAATTAGTTGTTTTCAGGTTATATTTCATTCTTGGAAGCCTTTTACTAACTACACTGGAGGTTGGCCAGAGTGAAGAGCAGAGACTTCTCCCTATATTTGTAGTCATTCATTCATCCTTTGTGCTGTTCTGTTATGGTATTCATTCATCATCAGCAAGGCACGAAACATCTATCTGGTTGTCTACAAATTGTTTTAAAGATACTCATATTTCATTACTCTAGGTTTCTGTAGAAGAATGTGAATGGTTCTGTCTCTAAAGGAGCACCGTCAAATTTAATTTCTTTTCCTTACTTCAAACTTATTCACATATTGTCGTATCTCTTTAACAAGTCCTTCAAGAATACTTCCTTGATGCACAGTGCTTGTTACGCTGATGGAATGACGTTTAGTAAACAATATAGAATTTTCGACTGTCAGGTATTACGAAAATGAAGGCGCATGTAGTCCCATCGTCATCCCGTAAGTTGGGCAGAAGAAACACCTACAGTCGCAACCTCCCCACATCAGTATTCCTGGCATCATCATTTACGCTGGGCAGACGTAACACCTATTTTCGTGAAGTCACGGAAACACCGTAACTGTACCTGTAAAATTAATAATAATAATAATAATAATAATAATAATAATAATAATAATAATAATAATAATAATAGTAATAATAATAATAATAATAATAATAATAAAAATAATAATAATAATAATATTATTATTATTAGTATTACCATACCATTACTGCAATTCTATAGTTACTCTATCATAATGTTGTCTTCATGCGAGTAATGTACAGTATACGGTGAAACCTCCATATAACGTACTTCGATCTAACAGACTAACCTTTTACATATGCGATAGTCCATTAGAAGGAGGTTGCATATTTAACAAGATTCGATAAAACGGATTGACCTTTCACATATAATCCGTTAAAAAGGGGTTTCACTGTATAATATTTAAGCAATTATTACCATTACTCTTTTCTGGCATTGATACATTATTCATATAGTTACCGAGTTACTGTGGGCTGGAGGAGGGAGGTGGACTACCCTAGCAGGAGGCGCCGGATATGTGGATAGGCGTTGGATCTCATGAAGGAATTGTAGTCCCGAGAGTCGAACAGATCGATCACTGAGCACCACAAAGGTAAGAAAGAAATAATAAATGTCAAAAAATTAAAATAATTCGTGTTAATGAGACTGATGACCCCGATCCACGACTTTTAGTGTCCAGGGAGGTCAGTCAGCCAGTACTACATCTGATCACTGTATAATGCGACTGGAATATTAACGGCACAAGTTTATAATAGTGCATTATTATGAGTATTAAGGCCAGTATCGAGAAAAAAATACCAAGCTGCAATGTGTGTGTGTGTGTGTGTGTGTGTGTGCACATGGTGGTGTAATGCGTTTAGTGTAGTAGCATTATGTAAGTGTTAAAGTGCAAGCACTGCTTGCTCCCTTTCGCTTTCAGCTACCGCCGCTGGCTAGCCCTCGTGATGAGCAGGGAAGCAACTTGCACAAGTCTTCGCCTGCGAGTACACAGCCTGTTCACCATCAAGACTCCTGCTGTGTCTCCTCATGGCAACACACGGTAACTGGGTGCCTCTTGGGCCCAGGCAAGACCAGCAGGGGATCTCGGAGCGGCAATGGGCCCAGAGGACGGTGCATAGGCCCACTGGGATGTGGACACGTCCTATCGCCTACCAACCACTGCCCCGCTGCCTTGCGGAATAATATTGGTAGGTATAAGGCTACGGGAATAAACTCCGAACGAAAAATCTGAGGTGGAGGCCCACATCAGGCAGACATGCCTACGGTGCTCCTACAAGACCCCAACGGCAGAAGAGGTGACCAACATGGGAACCCAACTACTACATCGGTGGATGAAGGCAATGCATGACTGACAGGTTACTAAGGCGAAACCCAACAAACTGGGCTATCGGCAGTCCATTGCAACTCCCCCTCTCCCCAATTGTTGCAACACTTGCACCACTGGATGTGTGGTTGCAGCCTGCGCTCCTGCCTCACCACATAAATCAACTCACGTGCAGCCATCATCCAGCACCATCATACTTCTCATCATCATCAAAACCCCTATACCCCCAAAAGTCCTATGTCGATGGACGAGTGGTGACAGGGACAGGCAGAGATGACTGCCGGAAGTCTCTAGTCGCAACTCTGCACATGGGCGGCATAGACAAGATGGTAGTTTATGCACCGGGATCTAGGCAGCAGTGCAATCCGGTCCTGTCTATACGACTTAGTAGCCCTCCTGAGGACCCACTCTGCTCAACCCACTTGGGGAGTGGGCAAGAATAGGTGCCCTAAACATAGCCTTCCTAAAGAGCCAACCTGACTGGGCAACTGCACCCAGTAAGGTCATCCTTATGCGGTCGAAAACACAATCATAATTACAGATCAAAACAAAAACAAACTATACAACCTCTTATGGTCGCTGCTTGGAATGTCAGGACCCTTCTGGATACTGGCATAAATAAGCGTCCTGAAAGAAGAACTGTCCTTGTGGCAAAAAAGCTGGCTATGTATAACATCGACAGAGCAGCCACTAGTTAATCCCAGCTCCCAGACGAGGGTTCAACTTACAGAATGGGGGTCTGGTTATACCTTCTTCTGGAAGGGTAAGCTTGCTGTGGAGAGAAACCAATGGAGTTGGCTTTGCCATCCGCCAACGTATCCTACATAGGCTAACTGACGCTCCGAGTTCCACTGAATCACTCGCGTCATGCCTTCTTCATCAGTGTAAATGCCCCAACACAGAATGCAGAGGATGACACCAAGGAGGCCTTTTATGCCGACCTTGCCGGAGTGCTAACTTCTATCCCCAGAGAAGATAAGGTTGTGCTCCTAGGTAACTTCAATGCCAGAGTTGGCAGAGATGCTGACATTTGGCAGGGAATCATAGGGAGAAATGGAATAGGCAAATGTAACCCCAACGGTCTACTCCTCCTCAGCAAGTGTGCTGCAAACAACCTCACTATCACCAATACCTGGTTTAGGCAAGCCAACAAATTCAAGGGTTCGTGGCGACAACAACGATCCAAACACTGGCATCTCATTGACTACATCATTGTCAGAGAAATAGATAGCTGAGATGTCACCATCTTCCGAGCCATGCGTGGGTCAGACCATTGCGACACTGATCATCAGCTCCTCAGAGCCAAGCTCTCACTTAACGTCACCCTAAAACAGTGAATTCAACAAGCCACCAGAAGAGGTTTAACACTAAGCGTCTGGAGGATCCAGCAGTAGCACATGCCTTCAGAGCAGCTCGAACAGAGGCTGATAAACAACCCGACAACAAACAACCCAAACCCCAGTGCCGAATGGGGTATTGTCGACTCTGTCATGAGAAAAACCTACAGAGACCCTCGGCCAGGTCGAAAGAATACACAGGGACTGGTTTGATGAAAATGACCCAGAAATCAATGTAATCGTCAATGATAAACGTGCTGCTTTAAATGACTGGCAGAACAACCCTCAGTCTCGAACCAAAGCTGATACCTTCCACAAGAAGAAAGCTGTGGCTCAGCACAAACTTCGCAATCTAAAGAACGACTGGCTTAAAAATAAAGCATGTGAAATGCAAGAACTTGCAGACCAACACAAGATGCGCGAATTTTTCAATTCCACTAAAACTTTTATGGGCCAATGACTCATGGCGCATCCCTTTCCACTCATCTGATGGTAGCTCCCTACTTAAAGACGAAGAAGGTATCCTTCAGAACTGGAAAGAGCACTACCATTCGTTGCTCAATCGAAACACCCATTTGGATGTCCTGACTACCCAGGAGGTCCCTCAGCATCCAGATTTGACCCACTTAAGCTAACCTCCATCCCTGGATGAGGTAGCTACTGCCATCAAACAGATGAGATATAACAAAGCCTCAGGGACTGAGGTAATCCCAGCCAAGGTGTATAAAGCAGGAGGACCACTGCTTACCAGCCGTCTCCACTCTCTCCTGGAGAATATATGGGAAAAGGAGGAAATCCCCTAACTCTTAAAGATGCCTCCATCGTTAATATTTATAAGAACAAGGGAGACCGGTTAGACTGTGGTAACTACCGTGGTATCTCGCTGCTGTCAAAAGCCGGCAAGATCATTGCCAGAGTACTCCTAAACAGACTTCTTCCTGAGGCGGAAAACTTCCTTCCAAAATCTCAATGTGGCTTGAGACCATCACATGGCACCACTGACATGATCTTTGTTGCCTGCCACATACAGGAAATTTGTAGAGAACAGCGTCGTGACCTGTACATGGCTTTCATTGAACTAACCAAGGCCTTCGACTTGGTTGACAGGGAAGCCCTCTGGCGGACCCTCAGCTGTTTTGGCTGCCCACCAAAATTCATTGCCATTGTGAGGCAACTCCACGATTGCATGAACTGCAGTGACCTACACAATGCCACCCAGTCTGAGCTCTTCCCCATTGAAACGGGGGTAAACCAAGGATGTGTACTGGCACCAACTCTCTTTTCCATTTTCTTGGCTGCCTTCCTTACTAGTGCCAGTGCCAATTTAGCCGGCGGGATGGACATCCGGTACCTGATAAAGGGTCTTTTCAGCATAAGACGACTCCAGGCATTAACAAAGGTGTCAGTAGCTTCCATACTGAACTTCAGCATGCAGACGACCTCACACTTGTCGCTCACACTGAACGGGACCTACAGGAAATCCTGAACACCTACACAGATGCGTATGCACACTTCGGCCATGAGGTGAATGTACGTAAGACTCAGATTCTCTTTCAGCCTGCCCCTGGTTCAGCCACACCTCCGCCATCCATTCAGTTGAACGGTACTAGCTTCTCTAATGTTACCCACTTTCAGTATCTCGGCTCCCACTTGTCCACCACCGTGGACATCGATGAAGAGATTCAACATCGGATCAGATGTGAATCTCGGGCCTTTGGCAGACTCCGTACCCGTGTCTTCAGCTGTAGGGAGCTGAAATTATCTACAAAGTTGCACGTGTATCGAGCTGTGGTTCTCCCCACCCTGCTATATGGCAGCGGGACATGGGTTACATACAGGGGGCACCTCAAGGCACTTGAAAACTTCATCAACGTAGTCTATGTTCCATCCTTCGAGTTCGCTGGGAAGACAAGAGAACAAATGTCAGTATTCTCGCTGACACCAACTGTTGGAGCATCGAGGCTACCATTATCCATGAACAACTACTTTGGACTGGCCATGTTACCCGCATGGACGACAGTAGACTGCCAAAGCAGCTACTTTATGGTCACCTAACGAATAGTAAACGTAACGCTGGCGGCCAACTGAAAAGGTACAAGGATAGTCTTAAGACAAACCTGAAAAAGTGCCAAATCGACTTCCTCACCTGGTAGACGATTACTCCACATCGTAACGCTTGGAGTAGCACTACACGAGAAGGTGTCAATACTTTCGAGTTAGCCTGACTGCACACCGAGGCAGACAAGTGCCAGAGCAGGGAAGATGTTGCTGCCGCCCCTCCCGCACTAGATGTAGCCCTCCACATGTGCAACATCTGTGAACAACTCTGCCGGTCCCGTATCGGCCTCTTTAGTCACCTCAAAACTCACCAACGAAGATGACATCCCCAATAACTCGTATCATTGTATCATAGTTGGATGATCGTCATACTTGATTCCGAGTGACAGTTAAGTAGTAGCAGTAGTAGTAGTAGTAGCGTGTGTGTGTATGTGTGTGTGTGTGTGTATCTGTGGTGCATTTTATATATAATACTTGGTTCCTATTACATACTGTGTCAAGAGTAACCGGGATGGGTGGTACTTTTGTGTTAAGGGTGACCAACGACAATTGTTGCTCAGTTATGGGCTGAGGCAAACCACAAGCGTAGTCGTTATTCGGGGTAAACATGATCTCGGGAGGACGGTTGCAGGGTAACTTACCTTCAATGTCTGCTTCGAAGCCTGTAGGGAGGGACTTAGAGGCGTCTCCGTCGTCGTACACAGTGATGCGCACCTCAGTCTTGGCGAAGATGACGTGCGGCCGCGGCACAGGCTGTCAAACGTCATTCCTGGTTAACTTTGTGAAATGTCCAGGGTAGATTCAGATGGGGGACAGCTGGGGAGCATGAACTCCCTTCCCCCGACAGAATCTTCACATGGGATGGGGAGGGGAAAGCCTCAGACTAAAAGCATCCCAATATTCATAATTCTGTCGTCTAGTTTAATTCTGCAATACCTCGCTAGTCAGGAATCAAACCCAGGACTTTTTGTGTGTGTGTGAAATGGGAACTCTACTACGGCACCACAATGGCAACAAAGACTTTCATAAGCAATGTTATATTTCACACAAAGCCTGATCCTTTGTCTTATTCTTAAGCAACGGGAGCCTCCACCGGGAATAGCCAATTATGTGGTCGTGGTAGCATTTCACAGACTCCAAGTAAAAAGTGCGAGGCTAACAACACACACACACACACACAATAATCCCAGTATAATGACAGGCGGCAGTTGGTGGCAGGATGAAAAACACAATGGGGCACCAGAGACAGAGTGCAGGTTCTTGTATTTCAGTCACTAGTATATCTTCCCGAACTTTATTTGATCTAACCCATGCTAAAAATAACCTAACCTAACTAAACCTAATATATGACTAAACTAAGTTAACATATTCCTACCATAACCAAACTCATCCTAACCAAAGCAGGATTGTAACTCCTCTCTCCTGTAGAGCGATAATAATGTGATTCTGGACCCTTACTGAGTTAGAAGCAAGACGTGACGTGAGAAGTATTGACTAAAATAAATTGACTGACATAAGAGATAGAGACAATAAATATTTACACGTCAGTTTTATGTTAGATTGAAAGAACGATCCTTTTTTTAACCCCCCCCCCCCCCAAAAAAAGCTAAAACAGCCAGGAAAAGTGAACTCCAGATTTTCGACACGGTTAGTACTACCACGGACACAGCCTGAGTAGGAACATGCAAGACGTGATTAAAATGTTCCTCATTAAGACAGTCTGCCCTCCCTCCGCCATATGACGCTCGTAAGTCCGTCTGGCGCTGCTCAGCTGTGATGCCGCCGTTTCTGTTGGTGTATCCTCCCTCGACAATAACTCAGGCTATAAAAACTAGTGACGCAGTGCACGCGCGCAAAATTTACATGCATGAAAAAAGAGTATTAGAAATGTTAATTAAAAACTTAGTGGGATGGCTGCACTTTCATTTTTGCTACCAACTGGGGTATGCGTGGTTGAGTCACAGTCAGGGTATAACGAAAGTCATCTTCCACGTGGAGCCGAATACGCTGTTTCACTTAGATGCTTAACAGCGTGGAAATCCCACTTCACAGAGATAGGACGACGAGAATAACAGAAGTATCCGGAAAGACATTAAACTGATATTAGGGTAATGACACAATGCCACCCAAAACTCCGCCAAACTCTTCTCTTCGAATGTGTCCTTGGCAAATGAATAGTTTCAGTGCTCTATGAATTCATTTTGCATTGCCTCCGGTATGTTCTGTACGCGATGTTTGACAGAAAAAAAAATCTACACTATTTTTGCTCCATTGTTGTCTAAATCAGGAAAAAACTCATGGAATTCTATCTCCAGTAACTCCAGATACTCAAGAATGTCGCCTTTCAGTACAGGATGAAGCCACACTAACGCTGGGCTAGTATACGACCATACCGTTCAAGGTTGATTATTGATTGGCATTATTAGCTCATAGGGTACAAGCTCTGTTACTCTGCTATGAGGGTCAAGCTTTATTTAAATTACCCAATCCCCCAGGTTGAGAACTACTAAATTGTAAACGTCTGCCATAGGCGTAGGGGTGTACATGGGGTCTCTGTGATGGGTCTAGTGAAGGCGGAATGGACATTGTTTGGGAGCCGTGCCATTTCATTATGAGTTGGGCCCATTCCTTCCCACTAGCAATGATAGTTGAGGCCCATTCCACCCCACTAGCAAACTAGCAATGATAGTTGGGGCCCATTCCACCCCACTAGTAATGATAGTTGGGGCCCATTCCACCCCACTAGCAATGATAGTTGGGGCCCATTCCACCTCAACAGCAATGAGAGTTGGGGCTCATTCCACCCCACTAGCAATGATAGTTGGGGCCCATTCCACCCCACTAGCAATGAGAGTTGGGGCCCATTCCACCCCACTAGCAATGATAGTTGGGACCCATTCCACCCCACTAGCGCTGATAGTCATCTATGATCTATGCACTTGTCACCAGGTTTATAATTTTCTAAGAAGAATCACTCACTCAGCTGATCATTTCCTGACATGCCGACTGTGCCACCCATCATGATACCATTAGTAATAGAGAAATGAGGCCCTGGCAATAACATACCCGTCCTATCCCCTTGTGCACGTGTCGTCGGCTCAGAATAGTTAGAATCTAAAAATGAGGGTACAATAGCACAATGGCCAGTCCGACTTTGGGGTGCAAGAATTAACTTCTACCATGAACTCAGCTGTGACTGGGTGTATACTGTAACTATATTTGGGAAGTGTAGGTTGTGGAGGGTGGTGCTTCATTGTGTAGGCCTGCTGTATGCTGTATCGATACGGATACCGAATGGCTACCAAGCCTATAGGATTCAGTCAATAAATATTCATAATCTTAATATTCCTTATTACTGAGGCTTCTTGCTCACGAGGCACGAGGACATAACATCAGTAGACTACTGCACTGGCACACTGTCATCATGTTCAGTAGTGTACGTGATGATCAGGTGCGTCAATAATGTACATCACATGTTCAGGTGCGTCAGTAGTGTAAGTCATGCTCAGGTGCGTCAATAATGCATGTCAATATGTCCAGGCTGATAATTGGATTTAAAAGCCGTGGTCATTGTACGTTTACAGGTGTGGGTGTGGCTGTCGAGCCAATAAACAGGCATGAGAACAATAATATTCCACGCACGAATATTTAAATAGTAAAGTTAATCTATATTCTTGAGAAAATATTTATAAAGGGAACAGCGGAACTAACGTTTTAAATATTCTATATGTTTTTTTTTATTATTATTGCTCTTTTTTATTTATTTTTATTCTGAATCCAGATCCCTAGTCAGCATATAACAGATTACATTTGTATGAAATTTTAACAAAATCTACGGTATGTCCTCAGGTGCTGAAAAGGAATATTATAGAATAAGCGTTTTCATGCCAGCTAACATCATTTTTTTTCTTCTGGAAAGTGAAAACTAAAGTGCTTAATATTAAGGACCCGAGTACCGAACCCCGAGTAGCCGAGCGGACGTCTGGGTTTAGTTATAATGAACATGTATCACGGATGAATGGGTGATGTTTGTGAGTTAGTGAGTCTCATGGGTGATGCTTGTGGGTTAATGGGAGTTAGGGAAGCCCATGGGCGATATTTGATGGTTAATGGAAATCAGGTAGGATCATGGGTGATGTTTGTGGATTAATGGGAGTCAGGAAGGATCATGGGTGAGGTTTGTGGGTTAATGGGAATTAGGGAGGATCATGGGTGATGCTTGTGGGTTAATGCGAGTTAGGGAGGATCATGGGTGATGTTTGATGGTTAATTGGAGTCAGGGAGGATCATGGGTTAAGTTTGTGGGCTAATTAGAGTTAGGGAGGATCACTCAACAATTAGGTTTGTGTAGACACGGTAATGTTTTGAAGCCTACATGTACGCTTTCCTTTCTTCCTTGTCAATGCTTCAATTAATGTTGGAATAGAAAGCGTAACATGTTTTAGTTATTTTTTTTTTTCGAATTTGTTCTACCTATGGACTTCACTGTCAATATAACCCACCTCGGAGACCCTGTTGCCACACCATCTGGCATCGTAGCCGTTGTTCTCTCTCTCCACCTCAATGTAGGCGCCGTTACAGTCGACGCTATAGGACGCCGACAGGTTGTGGAACGTCATCAGCAGGTAGAGACCTTGCTCAGTCTGTCACACAGTCAAGGAGATTAACACGTGAAAATATTATATGAAAGTGATTTGCATTTATGATTGAAATGTGAGGTTGTTTAGAAAATACCCAATATTTTCAATAAATACGTGAAAATCCTTAATACGTACAATAGAATGGTGAAAATACGCATTATTTGTATGAAACAAGTAAAAAGTACCAAGATAGTAATTTGCAGTTATAATTTATACGTCGAAACCCTCAGAAAATACTAAACATATAGAGTAAACAATGAAGTTATGTAGTTTTCATGATAAACAAACGAAACTATTAGTTTGTAATAAATAAAACTACGTAATGAATAACAATTCTGAAGTAAAAACATTATATTGAGAATTTTTGTTTCATGGATGACAATGCTTAACACTGTAATATTCACGTGAAAGTACCCAGACAAAACCTGGCAGTTATGATGAAATAACGTAAATAGTCTGAAAATACTTAGAATTTGTGATGAACGTGTAATAACCCCCAAAATTAGTAATAAAATACTCATAAAATACTACTAATATGAGATTAACAAGTGAAAAAACATATTTAGAATTTGTGATTTCTTTGCATCTTTGGCTAAGTGAACCAGATACGCTCGTCTCGACAAAACCAGTCATGAGGTGAAAATTTAACTTGGTAATCTCTCTAGTATAAGCCGTCCGGGTATTGTCTGAATCACCGCTGGCCAACCCGTGGGGAAAATACAATACCTTCATGGAATTGTAAAGAAAACGCTGATTATTCCCTGAAAATTCAAGTTCACGCACAGTTTTTTTCCGTCTATTGTATTAATTTTAAATTCTCGAGTGTGGGAGGCAGAAGAACCAGTTAAGCGAGTGTTAGAATAAGCCAGACTGACCTTTATATCCCACTCGCAGAAGATTTGTTTTCCTGGGCGAGGGGCAGAGCGCTTCAGCCTTTCTTGATCCGCCTCCGTTCCTGTCGACGTCTGGTCCAGGAACTTATGCAGGAGCGCGTATGGCAGGCTGTTAAGGTACCTGTGGGTGGTAAGGGCGTGAGTGGTGGATGTGGGCGGTGAATGAGGGTGGTGTGGGTAAAGGTGTGGATGGTGTGAGAGGGAAAAGTGGGTGTGGGTGATGAGTGAGGGTGGTTTGGGTGTGGGTGATGAGTGAGGGTGGTTTGGGTGTGGGTGGTGGGTGAGGGTGGTGGACGTGGGTGGTGGGAAAGGTAATGTGGACGTGGGTGGTGGGCGAGGGTGGTAAGCGTGGGTGTTAGGCGAGGGTGGTGGACGTGGGTGGTGGGCGAGGGTAATGTGGACGTGGGTGGAGGGCGAGGGTGGTGGGCGTGGGTGGAAGGCGAGGGTGGTGGACGTGGGTGGTGAGTGTGGACAAACACTTCAGCAACAGGCAGACAGATTGTGAGGATACGTTGACTAAACAAACACTATTGTCTCCCACGCATGGGAGGGAAGAGAGAGAAAAAATAATAATGAATTCTGTTGTTTATAGCATTGTAGTGCGTGCCACCGTCATTGTTTACATACACCAGCACCTCTAGTGGTAGTTGAAGGAACCAATACTTATGTGATGCACTTCTATTCCGTAAACTGCCTGTGATTGGTATCTATCGAAAGATGTTTACTGAGTTAAATCGCCAAACAAGCACACTGTCACGGGAGTTAACGTATGGTGCCGGCGGGAGGATGGCGACCCAAATAATCATACACAAGGTAAGACACTGACATATATTTACAGCTGTATATAGGTTAGTGTGTCTAATAACTCCAGAATTTCCAGTATAGATCTTTCAAAGGACAGATAACATGAGCACGGAGCACCACCACTGCTCGCTTGCTTATGAACTGCTGGCTACCAACTAGTTGCCATGGGCCACTCACTTCACTCGGCCCCTTCCCGTTAACACGAAGAACTGTTTTCCCAAATAGCACATACAAACTTCACATGCCATTACATGATGCATGAATAAACTTAAAACAACATAAGGAGAACTAACCCCACTGCTGACATTACATAGAAATTTGGTAAAATACACAATGAAACAATAATTTGAACCATCTCATTACCGAAACTGTTATCTCCTGGATTTAATATGGTTAGGTAAATAATTCAAAGATTTTTAAACTTTGAATAAATATACTTTAGTATATTTATTACCCTAACCTTAAATAGGTTAGGGTAATATTATTAAACAGGGGTAAATATCTTACTTAGTAAAATATATTGGTAGAGTAAGGGATTAGAAAACTTATAGTTATTAAATCTAGTAATTAACATATCTTAGGGTGTTAGATGCAGTATTTCGCCTTGTGTAGAATAATATTTATAATACAGCCTGTTTAGTGTAATAATAAGATATAACAAATTAGATATTGGAATTAATAAACTATGATTAATACCGTGTTACATACTATAGCTAGGTGGTAGGCCTGTCAGAGGATTAGGTGGTAGAGGAGGTTGGATGAAAGGGAGGAGTAGGTGGGGTAAGGATTAGGTGGAGGTGGGGGGGGGGAGATGTGAGGATTAGATGGAAGACTTTTGAAGTAGGAGTTAGATGGAGGAGAGGAGGAGGGGGAGGATGGATTAGAAGGACAGGTACCCGGGTTCATTCACCTCAATACCGCGTCAGGTGTCATAACCCCCACCCCCCTTCCCCCAAACCCCAGAGAGTCGCCTGCTCACCTATTCAACATGTCTTGTATAGATTCAGATGGTGATGAAGGCATGTGTCTTGTAGCCTGGCTGATATGTATGTGTGTGAGGGGGTTGTGTGTGTGTGTGTGAGGTGTATGTGTGTGGTAGAGAGAAACGTGACAGCTGGGTGACCACATCTACTCCACAACATTTCATCGTCATACACAACACCATCACCGTTACAACACCGTCACTGGCATGGTGTGGTGGTGAGGGATAAAAGCAGAACGTTTCAGGAGACATTTATCGTTGTTCAGCTAAAAGAGCATTTAGTTGTGGCATGTCATATGTATCTTCTCGTGTTCATGTTATGTGTTTTTAAAAAAAATTGTACATGTTGTGGAGTCCTAGGTATTGAATTTCGCCACACACACACACACACACTTGTGTTAGTCCCTGTCTAACACACAGTAGTGATCATATAAATTTGGGGCTGCATACATTATGATGAATTATTGTCCTGTAGTTTCAGCACTGTAGGTAAATTAGAAGTTACAATTATAAATGTTTTTATGTTGAGTTTCCAAATCCAAATGGTGTTTTCTCCTTTTATTAAGAAAATAGTCTATGCACAATTAACGTATAATATCACCGTACCTAACACTATGAACTGTGAGTGTTAGAAGAATTGAAGCAAGTTGTAACGAGCTTTGTGAACACACATCTGGTCTGTTTGAGAGACAGGATATGATTGAAATCGCCGGTGGATAAACTAAAGACCTGGCTTCGGCAGTGGTGTGCAGAGGTCATTTGAAAGACAATGAGGTTACATTACATACATCACTTTCTTTGATATTGGAGCTTATTTACTAGACACTAGCTCATAGTTTAATTACCGTAGGTGTAATAATTATATGATCACAATGCATGCAGCCCACATTTATATAAATCATTACTGTCTGTTAGACAGAGGCTAATACACACACACACACACACACACACACACAGGCATACAAATAACAAATTATCAAAACACCTTAGTAAAACTGAAACAACAAAGAGTAAATGAGCTTAATGTAAGGTGTGGTACCCAATCCCTCTCACCTGTAAGCTCAACTCGGGGCTAATTAATTGGGCGAATTAATTTGAGATAATATTGCAATGGAACAAAACAAAACTAGTCTAATATTTTTTACGGTATTATAGAAATTTCAATGTTTATCAACAGATGCTCGTAAGACCCTTTGCTTAGCTCTTATACGATCTCACTTGGACTATTCCTGATCATCGTGGTACTCTGCCTTAACACTAAGTCTAAAAGCCAAACTTACAAAATATTCAAAACTAGATGGTGAGGTTTACGGTGGATATGGATGAAAGTGATCGTGTATGGGGTTACAAAAGCCTGCAAACAATTGACATGTTAAGTGTGGTTATATAGAGAGAAACAATTGATCCTGAATCATGTTTTTAAGATTTTCAGTGGTGTCTGTCAAGCTAAAAAACATTCGTATTTACAGTTACAAAAGAATGAAACAATATACAGTACCTAAGCAATAAAACCAGTAATTTTATAAAATAAATCAAATTTAGAATTAAAACATATAAAGTGGATGAAGCTACGACACGAGAAGAGAGTAATTTTCTGTGTCATTAACCATAGACCTACTGGAAATAAGCTAATGTTGACTTTGTTGGGCTGTTCTTTGTTGAACCTACTTACTGTTTACCATTATTTGTATACCTGTACACGTGTACAGTCTATGTAAATTGTATTCCTGTATTGTCTAAACACAGCTTGTATACCTGCGGTGCCTATGCACATACCAAATCAATGTGAACTTGTATAACCATTTTACTGAAGAAATTTTCTATCTACTTATTCCCATTTGACTGTCTGTCTGTCTCTCTCTCATACACACATACAGTACAGTAGGCGAGAATCTATACAGGGTCACACCAGAGAAAGCCTCTGTCAACTGGAACATGTCGGTGACTCACTGGAAGAACTTAGGCCCAAGGAAGACGTGTTGTGCTTGGTCATCGTGTGGGCTGGACTCCTCGCCTCCCCGCGTTCCTGAAGATTCCTCCTGCCGCGGCGTGGTGTCGTAGGTGTACACAGGAGCACCACTACCACCACCCTTATCATTCTGCACCTGCGGCACCTACAGGAAGTAGGAAGATCTGTAGGAGCCCCTATCTTCAACCTTGTAATATTTTGTTGATAGCTTTCAATGTGTTTCTGAGCATATTATCTCATTTTATTATCTTCTGTCACATTCAGAACATCACTAATTTAAAATATTTTCAGACAGTAGAAATGTACAATTTTAAAGCATTCACTAACTGGCGATTTGCATCTAACTTTTCATATCAAAGTAAAGTACAACTTAGGATCCCAGACGTGATTGATGCTCACCTTCCTATAACCGAAGACGGAGGGGTCGAGGCCGGGGACCTCGAGGGGGGAGTAGAAGGCGGAGTACACGCGGCGGGGGTTAGGTGGTGGCCTGGCAAGATGATGGTCCTCCCCTGGCTCCTCCCGGGACTGAGGGAACGACCACACCTGAGGGAAGGAAGAAGTGGAGAATGACCCCACACCTTCATCATGGACCCCCACCCAAGTGACATTTCCTACTCTTCCCACCTGACACACTCAACGGTACTCTCAGGACTCCGCTCACCCTCTATGTTCAGTGACGCTGTATTAGCTCAGTTGTTTTTCTTTTTTTGTGTACATACAACAGGGGCGGAGCAAGCACTGTGACCGACCCAATAATACGATTCAGTGTTTCCTTCTTGGGCCATTATTTACTGTTACTCCTTCTTTCGGAAAGATTTTATTTTTTTAATAAGATGGTGAAATGTATTGTCATAAAGGTATTAAAAACAAATTGAAGATCTTCTTACCTGTTGGTGCGCCATGAAGTGTTCTGAAGGGGGAGGAGCATTCTGGGTGGTGGTGGGAGGCGTGGTGGTGACTCCCGCTGTGCCTGGTGGTGTTGATGACGCCTTCCTCACTACTGCTACATCAGAGATCATAAAGGGCACGGCAGAGACTTTTCGGGTGTCGTCCTCCTGGGTGGCCCCTTCATTCGCTTTGTGCGGTGGCCCATGGAACACCAGCGGGTATCCGCTCGGAGTGTTCGGGTAGGGTGTCAGGACCTGGTTTTCCTTATTGAACAAATGTTGAGGAATGAAGGAAGAGTCGTATGAATCATCGAAGTTGGTGGCAGGTATTGGCGAGTATTCGATACTGGGCAAAATTTTTTGGGTGGTAGTTGTCGAAGGTGTTCTGAACATGGGCGTGTCGGTGGTGTTTGTGGATGATGTGTCGCTCACAACATCTGTAACAGGTGTGTATGAGGACGTGGGACGAGGGGTTGTGGGCGTGGAGGCAGAGGTGCGTCGTGGGGGGTTGGCGGTGATAGGAAAGGGGGTGTATTGGGGGTTCATGCGCTCCTCGTGTGAGAGTGTAGTGGTCTTAGTGCTCAGCTCAAACACGGGGTTGAGTAGAGACCCGATGTCTGCTCCTGCGTACACGTCGTGGCTGTAGTAGTCACCAGGGTACAGAATCTCCTGCTTCATTCCCAGCGGAACATCCTCGACCGTGCCTGCCTGTGGCTGAGGTTTACCGCCCTCGAAACTCAGTTTGCTAGAAAGGTCTACAGTATAATCGCCGTCATTCTGCTGATCATCACTGGACGGGTGTCGCGGTGCTTCTGAAGAGGGGTTATCATGCGTACCAAGCTGAGGCGCTTCCATTAAGAAGAACGGGTCCGGAGTCTTTATTATAGGTCTGTGGGGTGTGAAAATGTCATCCGGTTGCTTCTTCGCCGCCTCCTGCCCCGCCACTTGGTTGTTGACGGCACTGACGACGTCGTCCAGTATGCGGTAGACTCCGCTCATGAAGGAGTTGGTACCTGTTGTCTGTTGGGGTTCTTCCTTTGCCATGATGTGTTCAGAGTCTGACACCAGCGTGGGCACCTCTGTGTCTGGGGTGTTTGTCACGTAGGACACATCCTCAGGTGTGCTCATCGTCATCTGGGGAGGTTTGTTGCTCCCACTTTCATCGGCTTGCTCCCGGAGACCTTCAGTATCGGTACTGTCGTCCTCTGAGGTCTTGGTACCAGGTTTGTCGTCCTCCGCGTGGTCTGATGGGACGTACTTTATCTGTATTGGTTCATACTGCAGGAAGACCGGTACAGCGTTAGGGCTTCCCGGCAGCTTGATGAAGAAGGGAGAATCTCCACCATACTCGGTGATCCCCGTGTCGTCCTTACGACTGAGGCCTCCACCTCCCGACCCACCATACACAGGTCTATCCTCACCATACCCAGGTCTTCCTTCACCATACACTGGTGTGTCTTCACCACCATACACTGGTGTGTCTTCACCACCATACACTGGTGTGTCTTCACCACCATACAGTGTCTTCACCACCATACACTGGTGTGTCTTCACCCATACACTGGTGTGTCTTCACACCATACACATACGTGTCTTCACCACCATACACTGGTGTGTCTTCACCACCATACACTGGTGTGTCTTCACCACCATACACTGGTGTGTCTTCACCCACCATCACCACTATGTGTTCACCACCATACACTGGTGTGTTTACACTCACCATACACATGGTGTGTCTTTACACGTGCCACCATACACTGGTGTGTCACCATACACTGACGTGTCTTCACCACCATACACACACACGTGTCTTCACCACCATACACTGGTGTGTCTTCACCACCATACACTGGTGTGTCTTCACCACCATACACTGACGTGTCTTCACCACCATACACTGACGTGTCTTCACCACCATACACTGGTGTGTCTTCACCACCATACACTGTGTCTTCACCACCATACACTGACGTGTCTTCACCACCATACACTGGTGTGTCTTCACCACCATACACTGACGTGTCTTCACCACCATACACTGACGTGTCTTCACCACCATACACTGGTGTGTCTTCACCACCATACACTGACGTGTCTTCACCACCATACACTGGTGTGTCTTCACCACCATACACTGGTGTGTCTTCACCACCATACACTGGTGTGTCTTCACCACCATACACTGGTGTGTCTTCACCACCATACACTGGTGTGTCTTCACCACCATACACTGGTGTGTCTTCACCACCATACACTGGTGTGTCTTCACCACCATACACTGACGTGTCTTCACCACCATACACTGACGTGTCTTCACCACCATACACTGGTGTGTCTTCACCACCATACACTGTGTCTTCACCACCATACACTGGTGTGTCTTCACCACCATACACTGACGTGTCTTCACCACCATACACTGGTGTGTCTTCACCACCATACACTGACGTGTCTTCACCACCATACACTGACGTGTCTTCACCACCATACACTGGTGTGTCTTCACCACCATACACTGGTGTGTCTTCACCACCATACACTGGTGTGTCTTCACCACCATACACTGACGTGTCTTCAGGGTTTGTGGGTCTGCCTTCACCAGTATTCAGTGGACCTCCATCACCACCAAACACTGGATTTCCTTCCCCAGCAATAATAGGTCGGTCGTTGCCACTTGACGTAGAACTCTGCTTCGTAGTGTTTTTCTCTTTGGACATCTGACCGAGGTACTGGACGAAGGAGAATGGGATGAGGATAGTGGCTAATTCAGGCTCCTCTGTGGTCCTGTCAACTTCAGGAGAAGGTGTGGTAACCTCTTTAATGTGTTCCTCTATACTTACAGTCGTTCCTCTGATGTCAACCCCGCTCAGAGTTGAGGACGTGGTATCCGGCGTGTAATAACCGTCGGTGGTGTCGTCGTCGCCGGCCAGAGGAGTTGGTGTGTGGTTGTTGGTGGGTGTTGGTGTTGGAGCCGCGTCTTGGCCCTCGTGAGAGTTGGCCGCCTCAGTTGTTCCGTGACTCGGAGAGTTCAACAGGGATTCAGATGATGATCCACTGAGGCTGCTGTTGGTGGGGTCGTGTGTGGCTTGTTCACCTGTCCCCGCGCCCTCTCTTGTGTCCTGAGTTTTATCGACTGTTTGCTTAGTCCCTGTGCTATTATCCGTATAGGACTGGATCACACTATCTGTTTCTTCCTTCTCGTCTACCTCACCAGCATCATGAGGAATTGACGTGTTAGTGTGGATCACGACATCATCTCCTTCCGTCTTGACGCTCGGCGATGACCCCACCGTGTGTGTATCCGGAGCTGATGGTGACACAGTTGTTGTATCTACTGACAGAGGTGTTGTCGTAAGTGCATAAACTAGGTCCTGGGCCTCTGTAGTATGATCGTCCAGGGTACTTGTGTGGTCCAGGTGGTGTGCTGGGGAGCTGATTGCCACCTTACTACCTTGTTCCTTGATGATGATCTTGCTGTTACTGTTGACGCCCTGGGTGTTTAGCAGATTGTTGAGCATCTCCTGGTTTCTAAGGATCACCAGAGGAATGGAAAAGGCTGTAGTAGAGTCACTGTCAGCGGGTGAGTTACCGGTTATTGCGTCTTCAGCTGCTGGTTGAGGAATACTTGTTGCCTCGTCATCCTGTCCCTCACTGAGAGAGTTGATGTCCATTGTGGTAGTGTCCATAGTGACAACGTTCGTAGTGGCGGCTTCCGTAGTGGCAGCGTCCGTAGTGGTAGATATCGTGATGACAGCGTTCGTGATGGCAGCGTCCGTGATGGCAGCGTTCGTGATGACAGCGTCGGTAGTGGCAGCGTCGGTAGTGACAGCGTCGGTAGTGGCAGCGTCGGTAGTGACAGCGTCGGTAGTGGCAGCGTCGGTAGTGACAGCGTCGGTAGTGGCAGCGTCCGTGATTGTATTGTCCTTGATGGCAGCGTACCTGATGGCAGCGTCTGAAGTGGCAGCGTCTGAAGTGGCAGCGTCCGTAGTGGCAGCGTTCGTGATGATGGCAGCGTCCGTGATGGCAGCGTTCGTGATGGCAGCGTCCGTGATGGCAGCGTTCGTGATGGCAGCGTCTGTAGTGGCAGCGCCCGTAGTGGCAGCGCCCGTGATGGCAGCGTTCGTGATGGCAGCATTAGTGGTAGCAGCGTTCGTGGTGGTAAAGTCCATGGTGGCAGCATACATGACGGCAGCTTCCTTGATGGCAGTGTTCGTGAAAGCAGTGTTCGTTATAGTAGTGTCCATGGTGGCCGCATCCGTGGTGGCAACGTCCGTAGTGGTAGCGTCCGTAGTGGCAGCGTCCGTGGTGGCAGCGTCCGTGGTGGCAGCGTTCGTGATGGCAGCGTCCGTGGTGGCAGCGTCCGTGGTGGCAGCGTCCGTGGTGGCAGCGTCCGTGGTGGCAGCATTAGTGGTAGCAGCGTTCGTGGTGGTAAAGTCCATGGTGGCAGCATACATGACGGCAGCTTCCTTGATGGCAGTGTTCGTGAAAGCAGTGTTCGTTATAGTAGTGTCCATGGTGGCCGCATCCGTGGTGGCAACGTCCGTGGTGGTAGCGTCCGTGGTGGCAGCGTCCGTGGTGGCCGCATCCGTAGTGGCAGCGTCCGTGGGGGCAGCGTCCGTGGTGGTAGCGTCCGTGGTGGCCATAATGTCACCTTCATTAGGCTTATTATTATCTCTAATTACGGAGACGGGCTGGGAGGAAATTTCATCATTTTTTATTCCTGTTTGTGTGTGTGGCGTGACGTGTTCCGTCTCTGGGGTCAATGTTGTCACGTGTTCTGTCTCTGGGGTCAATGTTGTCAAGTGTTCTTTCTCTCGGGTCAATGTTGTCACGTGTTCTGTCTCCCGGGTCAATTTTGTTACGTGTTCCATCTCTGGGGTCAATGTTGTCACGTGTTCCGTCTCTGGGGTCAATGTTGTCACGTGTTCTGTCTCTGGGGTCAATGTTGTCAAGTGTTCTATCTCTCGGGTCAATGTTGTCACGTGTTCTGTCTCCCGGGTCAATTTTGTTACGTGTTCCATCTCTGGGGTCAATGTTGTCACGTGTTCCGTCTCTGGGGTCAATGTTGTCACGTGTATTGTCTCTGGGGTCAATGTTGTCACGTGTTCCATCTCTGGGGTCAATGTTGTTACGTGTTCCGTCTCTGGGGTCTCTGTTGTCACGTGTATTGTCTCTGGGGTCAATGCTGTCACGTGTATTGTCTCTGGGGTCTCTGTTGTCACGTGTTCCATCTCTGGGGTCAATGTTGTCACGTGTATTGTCTCTGGGGTCTCTGTTGTCACGTGTATTGTCTCTGGGGTCTCTGTTGTCACGTGTATTGTCTCTGGGGTCAATGCTGTCACGTGTATTGCCTCTGGGGTCTCGGTTGTCACGTAAGCTTCTGAAGTCATTTCCAGCCCGGGGTATAAAAAGGTGACGGCTGTGTTAAGTTGATGTGTAGGATGTGTAGCGACCCCACCTGTCTCCTCTGCCACCGTAGTATTGTTGTTATTCTCGTACGGTCTGTCTTTAGCAGTGAGCGAGTCAACCAAGTCCTCGTAATAATCATAACCTTTAAAATCTTCATCGTCTGTTATTATCGAGTCTTCATAGTATGGACTTCCTGTTTGAGTCTCCGTTGATGTCTGTGCCGAAGCCTCCGCCAAGGCCTCACTTGGACCCTGGGTCGTGTTAGCTGTGTCTTCAAGCTTTTCTCCCATACTCAGATCTATATAGCCGCCCATGGTAAAGGTGTTAAGCCCTAGTGTGAGGTCAGACACATACACCTCGGTGGTTGTCTCATCCTGGTCGTTGCTCGTGTTATTACCTTGGCGAGGTACATCAGGGAGGTGTGACCATGAAGTTGTGTTACTTTGTGTCACATCACTTGTGTTATTCTTAATCTCAAATAGACTGCTGATATCAAGGGCCAAGTTTTCTTCCATGGAGGTTGGATAATTTTCAGGAATTTTCTCGAGAGCTACAGTTAAACGGTCTATGATCCTGTCAAAAATATCTCCGGAATCAACTGCTTCGTTTGACGTGGTGGTTGTGGTGGTGGTTGTGGTGGTGGCAGAGGAGGCACTGTTGTTGTCGCTGACCTGACCTGATCCCCCGATGCTAGGATCACCTATCCCGCCAACACTCACGCCTCTAGTTGGTTCAATCGTGCTGTCCTCACCTTGGCTTACATCGATGAAGAACCCTGAGACCGACACTTCTGTAGTCTTTGGTGGCTCTGGTCCCATAGTGTATATATCATTAATACTTTGCTCTGTTGTTGCTTCCCTGTTACCTGACGCATCCGTCTCACTCTGGTGTGGGCTGTGTGTCGTGTAAACATCACCAGGGTTTACTATATCACCAGAGAGAACCTCACCGGGGTCTCCAGTGTAGTTTGTGGTAGGTATAGTTTCAGAGACACTGCTGTCGCTGGTTCCGTCTACAGGAGGTGTGGTCGTGGTCTTGTGGTCGTTGGTTTCGTCTACAGGTGTGGTCGTGGTTTTGTGGTCGCTGGTTCCGTCTACAGGTGTGGTCGTGGTCTTGTGGTCGCTGGTTTTGTCTACAGGTGTGGTCGTGGTTTTGTGGTCGCTGGTTCCGTCTACATAAGGTGTGGTCGTGGTCTTGTGGTCACTGGTTCCGTCTACAGGAGGTGTGGTCATGGTCTTGTGGTCGTCCTCAGTAACAATCTCCAGGTCGTCCCTGGCTGCCACCTGTTGGAGGTAGCTGCTTAAGTCGAAGCTATCAATCAAGAAGTCGTAGATATCCAGTTCATACTTATCCCAGATGTTCTCCTGGTCGAGTGTTGCTGTGTCCAGGGCTACACCAACAGCCACGTCGTTGGCACTACTGCTGGGTGCTGTGGTAGTTGCTATGGTGTCTGCAGGGATTTCTGTGGTTTCTGCACCGCTTTCTGTAGTGTGCGATCCTGTCTCTTTTGGTTCCTCCTCATCTTCAGGCTTCGTCGTTGTGTGCTGTTCTTTCCTCGTGTGGATAGGGCTGGCAGTGGTCGGAAGGTCTGTGAGAGCGAGAAACTCCTGGTCAGTACTCTCCTCCGGCCTCTCCGTCGCTGATTTATCCGAAGCCGAGTGTTGGGCAAACCCTGGCGTCCTGTGGGTCAGCGAGGCGGTCACCTTTGTCGTGTCTGGCTGTGCTGTTCCTGGCTGTGGGCTTTCCGTCACGACACGTCCACTTTCTGTCGTGACTAGAACATAATCTTCGTCACCGGCTGCTGTGGTGTTGTGGTCTGTGAGGGATGCTACCTCTGCTGCTTCTGTGTATTGATCCGCGTCTATCTGTGTTCTGTCTGTTTCTGCTTCTACTGCCTCTGCGTATTGACCCAAGTCTGTCTGTGGTATGTCTGTGGTTGTGTGTGCCATTTCTGTGTCAGCATCTCTGTGGGTCTGTGGCGTGGTGGTTGTGGGTCCTGACTCCCCGACCACAACAGACGCTCCAGTAGAATCTGTTCCCTCATCCTGCGCGTATACTAGATCGTCCCTGGCGAGTGATTGATTGTCACCAGGTGTTGGGTCTGTAACCGCTGCACCCTGCTGAGTGGTTGTAGCTGTCGACTGTTTATCTGTTGTTGTCAACACCGTTGTGTCGTCGTCAGTCTGCGGTGTTACAACTTCCTCAGACGGGTTCCCCATCTTGTGTTTAATTGTAGTGTTGTCAGCAGTTTGTTGCTTCTGTTGTGACGGTGCATCTGTAGCGTCCTGGGCCGTGACGTCGGCAGATGTGGTCGTGGTTGATTCAGAATCTTCAGTGAACTTTTCTCCGTCGGGTGAATGCTGCTCCCCGGGTGATCCTCCGGCCGTGGGAACCCTTGCTGTGTTTTGTTCCACGACTCCATCTTTTCCTGGGGTCGTCGTGGGCTCCCCTGAGGCTAGAGGTCGTTGATCTTGCCTCGGCCGTAGTGTTGTAAAACTCACTGCTTCTTGGTTCTCATACTCAGTAGTTGTCAGGTGATTGTTGCTTGAAGTGTCGTCGAGTAGGGGAGGATCTCCAGAGGAATGACCGGGTCCTTCTTGTTTACGTCGAGGTCCCAGCGTGGTGGTGGCTTCTTCATCCTCATTATCAGTGGTTATCAAATAGGGATTCTCAGTCATGCCGTCCTCATAGTCATTCGGACCCAAATACGGATTTTCAGTCATGTTTTGAGTCGCCTCCGTCTCATATTGAACGGGACTCAAAACGGGATCCTGAACCTGCTGGATATTGGTGTAAATGTCAAGCTGCTGTGTGTTGTGATCATCGTAATCATCCTGTGTTTTATAGTCATATATTATAGAGTCCTCAAGGAACACAGTATGGACACCAACGCCTTCATTTTGATGTTTCTTTTCACTCTCACTTTCCTGTTGCTGGGATGAAATGCCATACGTTTCCTCGTCGAGGTTGGTGCTACCTTGTGTAACCTGAAGTCCTCCTGCATCTGGGGCATTGCCAAGGGGTTTAGTCGTTAATCTGCTTCCAAACCCGTAGTACAGTTCGCCCTGTTCACCAGGTACATCACTCTGGGCGCCTACCTCCAATTTGGTCTGTATATTATTATCGATGACCTCGTCAGGTTTTTGTGCGGAGGTATTGGTAGGGGACGGACCAACACCTGTTGTACCCTGATCACCTACTTCTCCTTCTTTTCCTCCTCCTCCTCCTCCCTCTGGGTGTTTTGAGACAACGTCGACGTTGAGAAACTGATCTTGAGGACTCCAGAAGCGAAGGACTTTCTTCTCTCCCCGTTGGACGAGGATCTCCTCGCCACACTGGAACAACACACCTGCGGGGACAGAAATACGTCAGGTAAACACTAAGGCCTAAGACAATCAGGTTTTCATCTTTGTCACTAAGAGTATTTATTTTTAGCTCTAAATTCAAAATACAAATATGCAGCGAAACCTGATTCAGACGGTAAACGGTATTTTTTTTTAAATGTTTTATAATTTAAAGTATAACCTTCCATGGTAACAGAATATATATATATATATATATATATATATATATATATATATATATATATATATATATATATATATATATATATATATATATATATATATATATATACTCGCAGCACATGTAAAAGTTTATGAATCAAAGAACATATATTTTGCTTCACTTAAAAATTCCACCCACGGTGTCTCAGACTGACCGGAACACACAGCAAACATAGACTATTACTCCATTCATTAACTCCTGCAGGGTAGGTGTTGTGTGGCGGTGTTCCCCTACCACACCCTTGTTTCCTCCCTGTCACATCTTTTGCTCACCTGGAACATAACTGATGACAAACGAAACAGGTGGCAGTATTCCCGCAGAGTTTCATGACTTTGGTGTTGGAACATTAAGGTACGCGGACAGATAACTATATACTATATAGATACATAATTAGATATTTTCTCGGTTAATTATCATATAGGTTTCCGCTGGTTCAGTATTTACAGTCAGCTACTAAAGTCCATTCTCCTCTCTCCCTGAACCACTAACCCCGAGACTCAGATTCGTGAACCCGAAACACACACACACACACACACACACATACACGTTCTATACAGTGTTCAGGTGTTAGGGTCACCTTTTAGCTCCTGGTATAACCCTTTCACTCTGCTGTCGTCTGAATGTGAACAGGAGAGGACGTATTATAGTGAACTAAAACTATTTTGACTTGTGGATGAGAACACCTGTGTCGTTATCGTAACATTTGTTTTCTTGTTCTTGTTCTTCTTGTTCTTGTTCTTCTTGTTGTTCTTCTTCTTCCTCTTGTTGTTGTTCTTCTTCTTCTTATTGTTGTTATTATTATTATTATTATTATTATTATTATTATTATTATTATTATTATTATTATTATTATTATTATTATTATTATTATTATTATTATTATTATCAGTTGTTTATTAATATTCATGTGTTGGTAATTTTCCAATAGCCCAGAAGAAATACAAGGGGAGAGAGAGAGAGAGAGAGAGAGAGAGAGAGAGAGAGAGAGAGAGAGAGAGACTTGTGTAGATGTGTAGGTGCACGTACTGTAGGTATGTGTCGGGGTGAGGATGCCAGGAATGCGTGGAGAAAGAGAGAGGAGGGAGGGAGGGAGGGAGGGAAGAAAGGCCGGGGTTAGAGGGAGATGGGAGAGAGGGAGGGAAGAAAGGAGGGGGAGGGGAGGCACGGTCAGTGGAGGAGGAAGATGCGTTGTAGACCCGTAATTCGCCCAGGGCAGCCTGGACACCCCGTCGTGATGCTGCCTCTCCTAGCCAACCTCTCTCTCTCTCTCTCTCTCTCTCTCTCTCTCTCTCTCTCTCTCTCTCTCTCTCTCTCTCTCTCTCTCTCCTCACAGCTAAACACACAGGAAGTCAATTATCATTATTGTCCAATAAGAAACTTGACACTTTTCCATCTTCTAGGCATTTTGTGACGGGTTGTTGTAATAATGGTCAAGGTATTTCAACCACCTGAGGACTTGGGGCACACAGCACTACTTTCTGCAGTACACTAGACAACAGGTTATGAGAACATAACGATGTAATAAAGTAAGATAGATAAAAAGATAGAGATAAATAGATAGATAGATTATTCAGTAAAAATCGTCATACAAATTCACACTGATTCAGGAACAATCCTTTCGCTCTCTCTCTCTCTCCTCCAGGAAGTGAGTAATAATTAGTGGGAACAAACCAGGACAGAAAAAAATATCCGGAATGAGGTGTTCAAGTGAGCAAAAATGATCATCATGGTAAATTATGCTCGTCAAGTCCGGGTGGCAGAGCAGGTGGGCGAGCTGTGTTTACTGTTGACGGCGTAACAGCTGTTCTGTTAGCTGTTCTTGTTGGCGGGTTAACCCCTCTACTAACCAGCTGGGAGGGGGGGGGGGTACTGAGGATTGTGTTTGGCCACTTTGACTTCAGTTACATTCGTTATAACATAAGCTGGCTAAATCTAACTTATACTGACTCAAACCAAATGATGATACAAATGGATCTGACAACCTATTTCAACCTAACTTAACCTAACCTAAGCTCTACTAAGAAGCTAGGAATTTAACAAAGCTTGTATTGGTGAATGTTGTTTTGTCAAGCTTGTGTGACTCTGGTGCCGGGAATTTGTGTCGTGGCAAGTTTTCTCTTGAGGGAGTTTATAGACAGAATTTTGTTCTTAAATCTCCAAAGACACTTGCGATCACAACTCACCAACACATCTCTCCTTTCTGAGACGTGGATAAGCTTAGAATAAACCTATTAAACCTTGGAGGACGACATGTTTTTTCTACCAACTTCAAGGGATTAAATCGTCGTCGTGTTTAAGCCATCGCCCATAAAGATTTAAACCATCATCCTCAAATAATTAATCCACCATCCTCAAAAGGTTAAAATCATCATCCTATTAAACTTTCGTCTTCAGTTGGTTAAAACTATTTTCATGTTAAACCATCCTCCTCATTGGGTTAAGTCATACTCTAACATTAAAGCTCGTGTTTAACTGCACATAACAACCTGTCTTTACTGAGAATAAGCAACATGCCAGTTTGTGAAATATACTGTACGTACCATAACGCTCGCACTACCACACTGGTCTCTGTATATCACTGGAGGAGGTGTTGAGGCTACATAGTATTACTGAGCTTCAACAACTATATAAGATCTTTAAGCGTGTATTCTTGGTTGGTGAAAGAGAGAGAGAGAGAGAGAGAGAGAGAATACAACGTGGAGGTAGATTACTTAAGGATGGGAACAACGGATTCATGGGGCATAGAGGTGAAGGTTATACGGTAATAGGAGGAGGTATGGGCGTGATGTGAAGCGTGTGGATATGGGGTGAAGGACATAGTCGCTTATAACAAGAGGGTGTAGCAGTATGGAATGGGATATGGAAGGTGCAGGGGAAATTTTAAACACACGGGGCGCTACGTACGCCAGTGAGTGGGGTGGGTTGTGTGTGTGTGTGAGGGGGGTTAAGATAGAGGGGCCGTGAGTCCCCCTTGTAACACTTGGCCACCCCGGCCACGTAGAAAACGACACTCATCCAAGATCAAGGTGACCCATGCCGGAATTCTTAAAACTTCCTACATATTAAGTTTGTTCACGCACTGGTGACGTGACCACGGCATCAAGGTGTCTTGTCATGGCTTCACCTAAGTGTATGATGACAATAATTATACTCAACTACAATGGTACTTCAGAAAGACGCAGATTTCAATTTGAGTCAGAATTTGTCCGCTTCAGGCTTCAACGAGAACGTGCCCGTAGAGTTAATGTTTGAGCCTCCGTAACACTACATGTAGTTGTCTCTTGAGTCACACCAGACAACGAGCGAGTTAGAGGCCATCTAGTCTGAGCTCTGTAATCGCGCATGGTAACTTGATCTACCTAATACTTTTCCTGTCGTCCCCGAAGGTAAGAATGATTGTAGACATGGTTACCTGCTCAGGTAAGATGTTCGGAACGGTTTAAACGACCTTCGAAGGACGACTGGACGAGCATTTGGACGATCAAAATATCATGAAGCATTTTTTTAAATTAAATACTGTACTAAGAACAGAGTTGGCACTCGTAATAAACCTTGACAAACTCCGACATTAATGTAATGTGATATAAGGAGGCTGTCCACAACTACAAACACTGTACCGTCAGACATAAAATAAGAAATTAAAGAGACTAAAGGGAGTATCACACTGGACAAATTTCCGCTGCTTTTCGTTCTCATGTCTCCTTTCTCGGCCAAAGAACTGACTTTTCCCAAGACAAGCTCAGCTGTACCACCTTCCGCGTGTCGCCGTAGCTCGGGACGAAATAATAACAAAGGTACAATAGATGTCTGAAATGTGTGTAGTGGTGTAGTGTGAGTAGTGGTATAGTGTGTGTAGTGGTGTAGTGTGAGTAGTGGTATAGTGTGTGTAGTGGTGTAGTGTGAGTAGTGGTATAGTGTGTGTAGTGGTGTAGTGTGTGTAGTGGTGTAGTGTGAGTAGTGGTATAGTGTGTGTAGTGGTGTAGTGCGAGTAGCGGCATAGTGTGTGTAGTGGTGTAGTGTGAGTAGTGGCATAGTGTGTGTGTGGTTAGTGGTGTGGTAGTGGTGTGTGCAATAGTTGTGTGTAGTGGTGAGTATGGTAGTGTGTGTAGTGGTGTAGTGTGAGTAGTGGTATAGTGTGTGTCGTGGTGTAGTATGAGTAGTGGTATAGTGTGTGTCGTGGTAGTGAGTAGCGGTATAGTGTGTAGTGGTGTAGTGTGAGAGTATAGTGTGTGTAGTGGTGTAGTGTGTGTAGTGGTGTAGTGTGTGTAGTGGTGTAGTATGAGTAGCGGTATAGTGTGTGTAGTGGTGTAGTATGAGTAGCGGTATAGTCACTAGTGTGTGTAGTGTGAGTAGTGGTATAGTGTGTGTCATGGTGTAGTGTGAGTAGCGGTATAGTGTGTGTAGTGGTGTAGTGTGAGTAGTGGTATAGTGTGTGTAGTGGTGTAGGCGAGTAGCGGTATAGTCACTAGTGTGTGTAGTAGTGTGTAGTATGAGTAGTGGTATAGTGTGTGTAGTGGTGTAGTGCGAGTAGTGGTATAGTGTGTGTAGTGGTATAGTGAGTAGTGCATAGTGTGTGTGTGTAGTGGTGTGTGTGCGAGTAGTGGTAGTGAGGTGTGTGTAGTGGTGTAGTGAGTAGTGGTATAGTGTGTGTAGTGGTAGTGCGAGTAGTGTATAGTGTGTAGTGGTGTAATGTGAGTAGTGGTATAGTGTGTGTAGGTGTAGTGCGAGAGGGTATAGTGTGTAGGGTGTAGTGTGAGTAGTGGTATAGGTGTGTGTAGTGGT